TGTAGTCTAGTCGAGGAGGCTGAAGGTCAGCAGATAATCGCTTACAGGGAGATAAGTGCCATGCCACGTGACACACAAAGCGTGGAAGTGGCAGGGAGAAGGGTAGGAGTCCTGGCAACGCCATCCTTGTACACTGCCTCCTGAAAATGTACCTACAGTTTACTCTCCACAGGGAAAGTGGACGGGTCAAGACCCACTCATGGGCCTCTCACAGTCTCCAGTCGGGCTCTATCTGATGAGCCATCATTGGCCATGCTGACCATTTTATACAATTATTTAATCCTCACAACAACTCCATGTGGTTTTACAAAGGCCAAATCACTTGTTCCAGGTCAATAGTCAGGAAATGGAAGATTCCCATCCAACTGAATCATAAGCTAAAACCTACGCACTTAATCCTTCCAGGTAGAGCCTCAAAACCAGAGAAGAGAAATGGGGGTCCATTCCAGAGAAAGTCTAAAGTGTGTGACCTCTAGAGATAGTACTGAGTTGTTTCCGTACCTACTCAATGGACACTGATCTCACAAGGACCGTGCAGCATGAACCAGCCATGGTTGGAACATAAACAGTCGGTTAGTGTTCGATGAGTCAATGATCAAAGGAGGAGAAAATAAAGCATCGCAAAGATCAGCAACCACGCCCGGCTGCTGCCGCCACCACTTCTGGAGAGCGGTTCTGGATGCTGGCCAGGATATTAATTAAGCCCTAACCACCAAGGCCCAAGGGACTCCCTATCAATGAATGGTGAGCTGGGGGCCTGCGAGGCCCAAGGCCTACAGAAGGTCATTCCCTCTAGCCAGGCGTACTCCCCAGGACACGTCTGTGCAAAGGTCACGGAGGGCATTGGGGGCAGAAGAACTGGAATATCACTATGCAATTTTTTTAAAGTGAAATTTTTATATCTACTAAGCTTCCTAGGCTATGTCTAGGACACACGAGTTTCCACATTAGCTTCATTGTTCAAATTGTCACTTTCAACTTTTCATTCTTTACCTAAACAAAATGTAGTTTGAAACCACTAGACATATGAAAAATGCCCAATCTTAAATAAATTCCATAATAAGAAACATCAGAGACAATTTCCCTCCCATTTTACGGGCAACAATGGACAAAACATCAGAAACTGACCAAACTCAGTGACAGAGGCTCTGGTAAAAAAAGTCCTGCTCATATGGTAATAGTGGGGCTGCACATTAGAACTTTGTGGAAGAAAAAGTGATGATACTAACAAAACGTAGAATGTGTGGGTACTTTAACCCTCTAATTCTTCTTCTGGGAATTTATTCCAAGGGAATAATTAAATAAGTGCTCCAAGGTTCACCAAAAATATGTCCCAGGATTATTAATAATACCAAATATTTAGAAACAACCTCAATGTCCAGAAAAGGATGCTATTTAAATAAATCATGGTATAACTAGACAACAGAGTCCTATTAGTCTACTTAAAAGATGATGTGAATTTATAAGCCATAATATGAAACTTTCTCCATGTTGTTCCGTTTTCAATAAAAAACAAACGGCTCCCTGGGAACCAGCACGTGCATGCGATGGGCGTGGAATGACGGACGAGCACTGCACAGCCAGACAGACGCCCAGAGAGCTTCACTAAATTGTTGGTGCACAATGGCTCTTTCTGGGTGGTGAGATTTCAGACGATTTTTTTCTTCCTTATTTGTTTATCTCCATTATTTGAATTTTTACAATGAACATGTAAGAGCTTTAAAAATAGAAAACCAACTGCTTTTAAAGATCAAAAGAAAACATCTTTAGGGTACACAAATTTCCTAGAGAAGAAACAGGGCTAAAGCCAGAATAATGGCCAACTTTCAGAAGGAAAATATGGAGGGACTTGGGAACTTCCTGACAGCCTCACACGAGGAGTTGTTCCCCAGTCTTGGAGAAGGCAGGGGGTCCCGGGGTTAGGGGTCTGTGCTCCACGGTCAGTCCTTTGGTTCAACGCCAGTTCTGTCACTCGCTAGGTGAGAGACTTGGGGCAAACTGCCTAACCTCCTCTGCCTCACTTTCCTCATTTATAGAATGAGGGGCTGACAGCACTTGCCTCTAAGAGTGTCATGAGGATTAAAGAAAAGAGTAAATGAAAAACACCTATCACAATGCCTGGCACATAATCAATGCTCACTAAACGTTAGCTCTTATGAAAACCAGCTTCAGACCATTGTAGCCTAAGTGAGTTCACTTTCCCAGGGTGAAGCATTAATGAACAGTTAAGGAGCGCGAGGAGGTAGAGGACAATTAGGCAAAGGAATCCAAAAAAGTAGATATACAGGCTGCAGCAGCACAGTGGAGAATGTACCTGTGTAGTTTCAGGCACATGACTTAACCTCATAGTCTTTGCTCATTCTGCAAAATGGGGAGCATACGAGGTCAGACAATTAAGTTTGCCAACTTTCCACCGTGTAAGTAAGTAACTTACTATCAATAAATGCCATCTTAAGGATTAATGCCCAGTGCTAACACAGTGCTTAGTAATAGTGAGTTTTCAATACATATTTGCTACTATTAATAAAAATAATTATTACTGACTAAAATGGGGTAGAGGGCTCCCTGTCACTACAGGTATCCAGGCAGACTCACTCGCTACTTGAAGAGGATGAGGCAGAGATAACTTGGTCATGGGGGAGATGACAGGATGGACTACTATCTTCCAAACCTAAAAATTCTGTGCAGTCATTGGCACATGAAGTTGATTTTAATAGCGGGGTTGTTTGGTGGTGTTGTACAGAGTGACCAGGGAACCCATCACCAGCAGGGATATCTCCTCAGAGAATTATGGGATGGTGCAGCTCCCGGAGGCCAGTCCCGCTTTTCAGACAGATGAGGCAAGTGTGAGGTGGTTCTCCCAAACTCTGCCCATTCTCTTTCCCAAGAGTGGCCCAGCCAGCTCTGGAAAAGCTGCAGCAGTGGTTCCTCCACACATTCTCCACCATTCACAAGGAAACCTGGCTGCAGGTGAGGACAACAGTACTAACAGCAATGGCAAACCCATATGATCACCTACTGTGTGCCGAGCTCTGGGCTGAGAGCTTTGCATACATTGTCTCATTGACTTTTCCCATCAGACTCATGCATCTATGCTCTGAGTGTCAACACATTTTACAGACAAAATAACTGAGTTTCAGAGCAGGTAAGCATTGCCCCAAACCTTTCAGCCAATAAGGGAACAGGGTTTGAATCCAGGTCTAAGGCGCACTCAGTATGTGAGAGTAGTTGCAGGACCTCATGACAAGCTGACAACTCATGCATATTATGGATGGATCCTGTTCTCTTTCAGGACCTGCCACTCACTGCCCCACCCCACTGGGTAAGTTGGTCCCTCTCAAGGTAGCTGGGAGCAGGGAAAGCTTAAATTGCCATGGGCATTATCTCATAATTCCTGGGGAAAGAAGAAGACTGAAAAAAAAGGCTTATGCTTCACCCACAAAATGAGTACCCCAGCACAACACAATGGAGAATGTGCTGGGAGCCAAGCACTCATGCTTAGAGGAGTCAGAGGTTTATAAGGCTGGGCAGGCACCACGGAGAGTGTAGACTATTTTATCACTTTCGTTTTCTTTTACAATCCTTTGGCTAACCCAGGCAGGCTTCAAATTTGCCTTATCCCAGTGTGATTCTTTGGACCTGTAGCAAACAGGTTCACTTTGCCATGTCAAGGTCAAGGATAGCCCTCTGCATCTCTCTAGAGCTGCAGGGGTTTAAAACTATGCTCAAGTCACTTATATCACATGTCGGCACACAGAGCAGATCCCAAGGGGACAAAGTCATAACCTCATGGCTAAGAACCCAGATCCTGGAATCACAGGCATCGAGTTCACATCTCAGCTCCCCCACTGCTCTGTGACCTGCTCTGAGCCTCAGTTTCCTCATCAGCCAGTAGGAATCCTGATAGCTCATAGATTTGTTGTAAGGATTAAATGAGACCACGCAATATTGGAAAGGCAGTGGACAGTGTGGCTGAGCACAGGCTACGGTGCCAGACTGTTTAAGCTCAGCTCCTGACTCTATCACTGGCTGTGTGTCCCTGGGCAGCTTACTTAACCTTTCTGGGCCTCAGCTGCTTCAACTAAAAATGGAGATAATGAGAGTACCCACCTCTATAGGATTGGGAATGAATGAGTTCCGGCTCAGAAAGTGCTTAGAGCAGCACCTGGCACATTAGTGCGTACTCGTTAAATGAGAGTGTTTATGATTAATGCATGTAAAGCCCTCAGCATGGTAAAAATCAGTGCTCGATAAATGGTAGCTGTTATTATTACAAGGTACACTTTCCACAGAGAATTTTATGCACATTTATCTCCTGGAAAGCAATTAAAAAATGAAGACGTCAGGGAAAACCGTGTCTTGAAGGAAATGTGACAGTTGTAGCAGAGGATTCGTGGCTCTGTTGCCCAGGCAGGGTACCCTAGGACTCATGCCCGGCTCCCCTTTGCTTCCAAAGGATCATCATTCAGCCATTTACTCTTTCAACAAATGCTCATTAAGCGCTTGAAGTGAGTCCACAGCAGGGCTGGGAATACCCACGAGGGGAATAAGACGGCTCCAGCCCCTGCCAACCTAGGGCTGACCGGGTAGTGATTATTTAAGGATCGCCGCGATTGGCGTTACGAAGGATGTGATGAGAAGGTAACGGGGTCCTGACGTGGTCTTTCACCGGAGGTGTATGTGAGGGTGGAGTCACTGGGAAGGCTCCTTGAGGGAGGGACATTTAAGCTGGCGATTCACAGGTGCGCAGGTGTTGGCTGGGTAATACCTGGGAGCAGGAGGAGGAAATGAGCCAGGCAGACGGGCACGTAGTTCTGAGGCCCTGTAGCCATACAGTGACCGGCTCTCCAGGGAACAGAAAGCAGGGCGTACGGTGGACTAATTGCTGCACTAGCCACTGTCCACTGAGAAGCACTCAGCCGGGAGGCCGGACTTTGGAGAGAAACGCGGGTCCTCAGGAGCGGCATTCTCAGTAGCGGCTGTTGTCTCTTCCCTTTCAGACCCCCCTCGCCTGCTGGCAATGACAGTCAGGTCTCAGACGCTGCGGACCCGGGCCAGGGGCCAGCCATTCTCGGCTTAGATTCCCAGAGGCCGCAGCCACGGATCACTTTGCGCACATGTGAACCCCTGCAAGCCTTCCGATGCCTCCACTGTGTCCTGGTCATGCTCCACTGGGTTCTGTGAGGCTACTGAGAAGGACAAGTTTCCCTCGCTGGAGAAAAGGGGCAGAGCATGAAGGAAAACAATGGCCCTGCAGGAGCCATCTGGGATTGACAGAAATGAGGCCTTTCCCTTAGAAGCATCCTGTATCGTCAAAGAAGCCAGCCCCCAGGTCAGTGACTTCTCTGCCCGCTTACATGCTATGGAGAGAAGATGCCTTTAAGTTTCCTGCAGTTTCACACTGGAAACATGCTCCAGAGGAGGAAGCCATCTGTTGCAGGCAGGTTTCTTTTGGAATTCACACACTGGGAGTCTGGCGCTATCCCCTAAATGGTACTTTTGTTGTCTTTTTGTTCAAGACAGCAAGCTTTTTCCAGGATCAGAGCCGCGTGCCAGCCACCCTTGATAAACAGCCTGCCAGCCTGCTTGGTAGATCGGATGTTTAATAATTAGCCTAACGCATTGTTTATCTAAGTGGCAACTGTCAGTGCAAAGAAATGATGTTTTAACTGCCAGAGACGCATTACGGAGAGCTCACAAGTGAGAATCCACAGGCCGGGCATGGCCAACACAGCTTCCCAGATGCAGAGGAAAGGGCCGCTCCATCTTGGCCGGCAGGTCTCTATGTCTGAGATGCTATCATCAGATGCTGCTCCAAAGACCTAAGGACATGTGCCCAGGAGAAGTGTATGGTTCCAGCCTTTTCAACTGAGGCTCAATGGCCCAACAAAATATGCAAGTGCGGCCTGTGCTTCTAAAGCGTAACAGCCTAGAGTCAGTGGAGTTTGTGAAGCCACCGCACCACCGCAGGAGCAAATCTCAGCAGGTGCGATTCAAGGAGGATGGGACCAGTAAGACCCCGCCTGGCCTAACTGAGGTCGATGTCCACACTTCTGAAGACCCGACCGTGATGGGCATGACTCAAGTGCCCAGGCACCATCACCTGCCCACCTACTCACTCTCCTTCCCCAGGTCCCAGAAGGCAGGGGGCTTTCGGAACATCGCGATCCAAACCTCCCCCAGTCTCAGGAAGCATTTCCCAGTTTTCAAAAGGAAGAGACTCACAGCCAGCAAGTCGCTGGTAGAAATGCCAACAGCATCCCCAAGTGCCATCCAGGTCAATGGCAACCTCTCTGAGCAGGACATCGTGTCTTCTGACCTTGCCTACTTAAGGCTGGCTCAGCATCTGGAGGATGGGCCGTGCAGGGTCAAGGTGCCTCACCCGTTTCTCCCCAGAATGTCCAAGGTGCAAAGCAACGGGCCTGTGAGCATATGCTTGGAAGCAGGGACATGGAGAGCCTCAGAGAAAGCAACAGCTGCCATTCAGGTCCCAGATGATATTTATCACAGCCTGACCTGGGCAGCCAGAGCGTCCAACTTTAGCCAAGACAGGTCTGCAGAGATAAGCAACTCCATCCACCCTTTGGCTGACATGTGTCCAGGTGATGGGAGAAGAGTGCCATCAACAGATGCCGAAAGAGCCCCCTCCTGCGTAAACGCCACCAGCGGTGCCAACCATGTGCCAGGCCCAGGGAAACTTAAACCCGAATTGCATTGGCCCAAAGACAACTCTGATGACAAAGACTTTGGCCTATTGTCATCTCGGCCAAAAGAAACATGTGTTCCCTCGCCTCCACGGACTCGCAGCTCCCCATCCCCAGGCTCCTACAGCCAACCAGCCCCCCCAGGAAGGGCTTCGGACTGTTCTTCACTGAGTAGCAATCACCAGGATCTGCTGTCACCCAAACCTAACAACGCATCAAAACCTGCCCCTGTATGTCAGGGGCTGACAGCGAAGAGCCCCACCAAGCCAGACACCCCGGAGTTTCGAAATTGTCCAGGAAATGATCAGCTCCCGTCCTCTCCTCCAAAGAGGGAGCCCCAACTTCAGAGCCACAAGGAGGCCTGTGGGATTAATCAGATCCATCTGGCACAGGGAGAGCTCTGCGACCTCCAAGGCAGGCTGCAATCCGTGGAGGAATCTCTGCACTCGAACCAGGAGAAAATTAAAGTCCTTTTGAATGTAATTCAAGACTTGGAGAAAGCTCGGGCTCTCACAGAAGGGTACAGTGAATTTTTTTTCTATTAAAAAATACTGGGTTAAGTCATTTGCCAGGATAGGGGCAGAGAGAGAGAGGGAGAGGGCGTTGGTTTCCATTAGCAAAATGTCTCCAAGTGTTTGGGATTCGTTTCCACGAATCAGGAGCCAGGACCTCTCTTTGTTCTGACTGGGCTTCTTTCAAGTCTAGGCTTTGGTCTCTTTCTGTGGCTATTTGCTTTTGCTTCCAAATAGCAACAGACTGGGGGAAGGGGGCAATGGAGCAGCAGGGTCGAAAAATGATTTCTATTAAGATAGGAGTCCAGCTGATAAAGGATTGGGGGGAATGATAGCATGCCAGGACTTCTCCCACCCCTATCCTCTAAGCAAGTCACTGCATTTGCTCAGCGTTTTAGTCATCTGTGTTTGTCACAAAGGACACGAGGTGGCCACTAAACTTACTGTTGACCTTTCTCTCCACTGACCACTTCCGTGGCTTGAGCCAGTCCATCACTGACCAGCTAAGTAGAAACTGAAATGAGATCACAATTCTGCAAAGAAAAAAAGTCACCAAATGTTTTCCTGGGTGACTCAGCACCAGTCTGGGAGAGGAAGGCCGTTATTTATTTAGCTGTGCCGTGTTCGTCCCAAGAAAAACGTGCTCCCTTAAGACTGGGAAGAAGAAATGATGAAAGCTAATAACCAGAAGGGTAGGAGAGGGAAGAAGTCATTAGCTGACATTTGCTGATGTGAATCAGAATCAACATTGCCTTGTAGGACAGAAGCCCTGTGACGGCACAGACAGAAATGCACGAGGGGTCAGGAGCTTCAATAACTTCTCTTCCACTCATTTGCAAACTCCCTCAGCTCCCCCTCTATCATGAAGGGTTAGGAACAACTGACTCATTTCACAGGATTGTTGTCAGCATGAAAAAACCCTCCGATTTGAAAGTGCTTAAACATGTAGACAGCCCTCTAGAAATAGGATGTCCTGTTATCATGGGTTCCTTGTTTCTCTATTGGTCGTGGTCACACAACTTTAGAGCCTTGCTCCCGAAGAGGGGGCAAAGTGGCATGCAGCAATGACCCAGCAGAACGCATGCATCCCCTGGGACTTCTGCCCATAGATTGATCCAGCAAATGCTCTATCTTGCAGGCGCAACTTTTATCGAACAGGCCAAGATCTCAACAACTGCAGTACCTGCCAGAACACGGCGTGCATCATATACAGGTACCTGGTGACAGCGGAGGCCAGCTCCGCAGAGTACAGAGGCTGCGGGGCCCACAGAACAATCTCGTAAACTCTCTTACATGCAGAAAGTCAAGAGAGGGGCAAAGACAGGAGACCTTTGAATACCTGTGACTTAAAAATCAAGGTGTTTAACTGGGAAATGTTAACATCTGGTTCTCAGGCAGGCATTGCTGTTTCCTCACAATAAGGTCTGTGAGCAAATCCTTTTGCAAACGATCCCTACACTTATTGGACATGACGCACAGCCCCCTTACAAAGCTCTGCATGCACATTTGCGTCCCATTTTAAAGTTATATCTGATGAGGCAGGTGTCAATGTCTTCAGGGAAGCTAAGCCATTTGGCCCGGCTCACATAACGCACTTCCAGGCAGCAGAAGGGGCCAGGCGCAGGACTGAAGACGCAGACCCAAGCCCTGTGATCTCGATTATTCCACCACAGTACCTCTCCCTCAACAGCAGCTATCACATGCCAAGCATTCGCTCTGTGCCAAGAAACATGCTAAGCACCCACTGTGTTCATTTTTGAGCACATTTCCTTCCAGCAAGGGGTAAGGCTGCTGCCATGAAGTGGATTTTTGTGAGGAGTAGAAGGAAAACATCGGATAGTGATGAAAGCACAGAACCTGGAGTCAAAATCCCCAAGTCAGATGTCTGCTAACTTGTCTGGGGCTCGGTTTCCTCATCCGTAGAGTGATTCCTATACAGAGTTGCCACGAGGAGCAAATACGATAATATACTCGTATGAGAATGCCCTTTACAACTGTAAACCTCTGTACAAATCCGAGGGCTTATAACTGTTATTACCAGAAAGATCGATGTCCCCTTAGCTGGAAGCCAATTTCGGTGGCATGGTGGAAAAGCGGTCAAAAGCAGTCATTTTGGTCGATGGCATCTAATTTTGACAAAAGTGTATGGTTTTGCTTTCTCTATTACATTTTCCTCTCAGGCGAGAAAGGCTGCCCAATTGGGTTGCTTGTATCTTTGTTTAAAACTTTCTCATTCTTTCCGGTAGAACCCCCAGATTTCATCCTAACAAAGGACGGGAGGCCAGGAAGTTAGGTGGTCCCTACCCTAAGGCGGGGCCTTGGGCATTTTCTCATTGAACTGTCAGTTCCTTACACCTACGAGCCTCAGAGCCACATATTTTCACTAAATGACAGACGCATCAGGACCAAGCATGGAAAATGCCCTTTACCTCAGTGTAAAATATCGCCTCGAAAAAATATCCCCTGAAAAAGGCTTGTGCCATTGGAAATTATAAGTAGGCAGGCTCGTCAACTGCTACCTTTTGCTCCTTTTTTTTTACATCTCCTATCTTAAGCAAATTTCCTAAGCGCTAGGAAGACAAAAATTATTAAATGTCTAGACAGCCAGGGAGGGCAAAAAAAGCTATTCATCATAAACAAGAATTATTTTTCACTAACATCCATTTAAATTTTGGATAGTCTCTTTTCTTCATCAACCTGATGATGTATTTTCTATTACCTTAAGATGACTTTTTGTTTAGCTTACGTAGAGGTAAAGGGCAAGTGTTTATTTCCCAGTCTATTGTGAGTTCCATGGCCTGGCTTTGGGCAAATCATGTCTGGCCTTTGAGTTTCCTCATCTGAAAAATGAGAGCCTTTAATTAGATGGTCCCTGTATTCCCTTTCAGCTCTGACATTCCGATGTTCTCTGCTGAATTAAAACTGGCAATATTTGGCTAAACTATGACCTTCCAACAAGTCTGAAAATGTTTGCACTTTTTTTAGTACCTACTTCAAACATCCCAAGCAAACATTCTAAATTAAGTTACACTCCTGGATGGGTGAACTAACCTTGTGACCCGTATCTTTCCAGTTTTCCAAGAGGAGCAGCCCCTGTGTGCCTGCTTTCCTCATTACCATTCAAAGCCAGGCTGTACTCCCAGGCAGCAGCTCTACCCTTGTATCCGAGCCATTGCAGAGGAACAGGCAATTAATCTGATGAAAGCAAAGAGATCAGAAAAACACCCCCATCATAGTAACAGTGGAGAGATGAGACTTGTCATTTTTTTTTTTTTTTAACATTTCAAATGACTTCAAACTCTATGTTGTGTCCTGGAAAGTCAGATCTTACAAACTAATGAATAAGTGATGTGGAATACTCCTCCTTAGGCCTTGGGAAGCTGCAGTCTCTCTCCCTGATGACGGATGGGCCCAGGGCATGTCACTGTACATAAAGCATGTGGGTGCATGATGAATTATCTGCTAGGTCCTCTTCTCTGGAGATGTTGCCGCTAAGTTAGCAACGTGTAAGGATTTCCAAGTGGCCCCATTAGCCAAAGGCTATGGCTAACGCGGCTTGCTTCCATCAAGATATGTGGGGGCAGCTGTGCTGCCCAACTCATTCTCTCTGCTCAGAGGAGCCCTCTGCCCACCCCCTTTCCCAAGCCTCGTTGGCTTTCTTTTCACCACGGATTCCTTCCATAGGCCCCATCTCACCAAGAAGCACAGCACCAACACAGATGCCTAAGGACTCGATGCATGGCTCTCAGGGTCTTCCAGAGGATTCCATGGACCGGGGAGAATATGCTCCTTTGAGTTTTGACTGCTGGAGGCTCCAAGGGAAGGGGGTGGGAACTGGCCCTATGAATCGAGCTGGTTCCAGGCGTGTAGTACCCAGTCTTACTCCTCACCTGTCCTTAGCATGAATTCTAGGACAAGTTTCTCAAAGAGTTGGGTGACTGCCACCTGTGATATCAAGATTAAATAACACTGAATTACTTAGTATGAAAAGGTTCTCTTTCCAAATCTGTTTCGATCCTCGTGATTACTTACAGGGGAGAATCAGAGTTTGGTGCTAGAATGTCTTTGAAACCTTTCTAATGCTTATTTATTATGTTCCTTTGCCAAGTGAGGGCAGGTCTCAGGTTCATAGCCATAGGCAAGCAACAGTATCAGGCCAGAACGTAATCGTTTTAAAATTTCTATTGAAGCTTTTAACTTTTAAAACTAGTCCCTTAAACATTCATTGTAAGTGATTCAGGTCTCCATTTTCCAAAAGTGATATTGCCTATTTTCTATAAATGTTTCTAAGTTTAAAAAGGAAATTGCTTTAAAGAGACAAAAATTAAGTATGTGTTGTAGGGAGTTTCACAAAAACCATGAAGGCGGTGCACAAATGATTGAAGTTTGAAAAAAGGTTTTCCAAAGAAATCAGCTCCCTTACCTCTTCTCAAGGGCAGGAGGTCGCCCCAAGCCATGTCCCTTCTCCTTCCCTCCCTCCATTCTCTGTTCCTCCAGACATATCTCCCTCTCTTCATCTTCCTGGTCACTCTAAAAATCATCGCCGAGCCTCTTTGGAAGACTTTGACAACACTGATCATGTATTTATTTTCCAGACGCAGCTCTGAGGAGAAATCTGCTTCATTTAAGTTGTAAAATGCCTCCATGTTTTAAGGGAAGAGAATAGGAAGTCTTTCTCAGAAAAAAAAATTTTTTTTCATCTACCATCCAAGAATGTTCATGCTTAGGAAATGAGAATGAGGAGCAAGTTGCAAACTGACCATTTTTAAAACGGGTGAAGGGAGAGGTTGGCCATATAAGATTTGAAGGGTGCCAGAGAGGAGACACAGAAGAGCTGCTGTTTGCCTGGGGTCCACCTGGACATGCTGTCACCCCTTCTCATTCTTAGCCTCTTTTCATGGTTTCAACCGTACTTGTGGATTTTAAGCTACTGTCTTATGACACCACCTTCTTCCTACCACCTCTTTCAGCAGTTGCTGCTGCTTCTTCTTCCTCCTCTTCTTCCTCTTCTTCTTCTCCTCCTCCTCCTCTTCTTCTTCTTCTTCTTTTCT